GGATGTAGAACAAAATTCTAACTCACACAAAAAAGGCCAGATTTACTGGCCTAAAGGAGACTGAAGAAACCCCAAGAATATGGCCCCCAGACACCCTTTTAGCTCAGTAGTGAAGTCATTTCCGAGGTTCACCGTTCAGCCGGGGAGTGGACAGCCCCATAAAACCAAATGGGACTGATAAGGCACAGCAGTCCAGGGACAAGGGCCAGAAAGCAGAAGGGGACAGGAAAGCTGGTGATAGAGAACCGAAGGTTAAGTAAGGATAGTGTTGATGTGTTGTGAGGTTGTTACTAACTGTTAAATGTGTACTAACTGTTAAATGAGAAATTGTTTTGTTCTGTAAACCTTCACCTAAAGTGAGAACAGCAGCACAACTGGAAGAGTGTAGTTGATGTCACTGAACTGTGCATGTAGATATTTTTCAAATGGTGTATCTTTGGCTATGTATATTTTCACCCAAAAAAAATAAAGGTTGAGAAGGGAGAGGGTTGACAATGTTGTGGGGTTGTTAACCAATGTCATAAAACAATATGTGTACTACTGTTTCATGAGAAACTATTTGTTCTGTAAAACTTCACCTGGAGTACAATTAAAAAAAAAAGGAAATAATTTAACTGCATATATAAGAAGACACGTATACACAAGAATCATCTGGGGATCTTGTTAAAATGTAGATTCTGATTCAGTATATCTGAGATGGAAATGCAAATTCTCAGCAGGGCTTTGAAACCAAATGAACTAGTTTGAAGCCCTGGTTTTTATATATACTATATACAACAAGGTCAGCAGTTCAAATCTACCAGGCACTCCTTGGAAACCCTATGGGGCAGTTCTACTCTGTCCTGTAGGGTTGCTATGAGTTGGAATTGACTCGACGGCAATGGGTTGTTGTTGTTGTATATATATAAAAAAAAAGTTGCCTTCAAGTCAACCAATGCGCCACCAAGGCTCCATATACCATATAGAAACAGAAATATTTACCCATATGTTTATAGTTTTTGACATTCTTCATTACTGTGCATAAATCCAAATTTCCATCTGGTATTATTTTTCCTTCTACCTGAAAAACTCCCTTTAACTTTTTTTTTGTTTCCCCCTACACTTTTGAAATGTATTTTTTATAAATATCTCTCCATTGTCTTCTAGTTTGCATAGTTTACAGCAAGAAGTCTGCTGCCATTCTTGTTCGTAATGTTTTCATCATTGACTTTCAGCAATTTGTTTATGATGGGACTTTGTGTGGTTTTGTTTCTTCTGCTTGCGATCTGTTCATCTTTTTTACACTTACAGGTTTACAGTTTTCATCGTTTTTAAAATTTTAGACATTTTATCTTCAAATATTTTTTCAGTCCTGTTCCCTATGAGACTCCAGTTATAGACATACTAGACTGCTTGACATTTTACAGAGGTCTCTAATGCCATTCATTTTCTTTTTCTACTTTTTCTCTCTCTGCTTCATTTTGAAAAGTTTCCACTGCTATTTCACTGATTTTTTTTTTAAATGAATAATTATCTACTCTGTTGTTAATCCTGTCCACTGTACTTTCCACTTCGGTTATTGTCTTTTTCATCTCTAGAAGTTCCATTTGGATTTTTTTATATCTTCCATTTCTCTCCTCATTACAGTCACAATTTTTGCTAGTTTGAAGAAAATGGAGGCAAGATGAAGAGAATTAAACAGAAGGAACATTCATCAAAAATTAGAAATCAAGGTCAGTTCATATAAACACACCATTAGGGAAGCAGAAAGACTATTAATAGAGTTGGAAAATATCGTTGCAGTGAATATATATTATCCGACAAGGAATCTGCATCGAAAATATTTAAAGAATCCTTATGTATCAATTAGAAAAGAGGCAACTCAAAAAGAAAATAAGCAAAAGTCTTAAACAGCCTTCATTAAAAAAAGATATCCAAACGGTTAACAAACATATGAAAATGAGCTTAACTTCATTATTAGAAGAAAATACAAATTAATACCACAATGTGATACAACTATAAATACAATCTGAAAACTGAGAAAGGCAGATAATACCAAGTGTTTGCAAGGATGTGGAGAAATTGAAAAATCTCATGCACCCCTAGTGGGAGTATAACCTGGTACAACTTCTTTGGTAAAATGTTTGGCAGTATCAATTAAGGGTGAAAATACACATACTCTACAACCTAGCAATTTCATTTTCAGGCATATGTCCAACAGAAATATATATGTACATTCACCAAGACATGTAAAAGACTGTGTAGCACTAGTCATAATTTCTTCAATCTGAAAACAATCCAAATGCCCATCAGCAGTTGTGAAAGGATAAATTGTGGTATATTCATACAATGGAATATTATATAGCAGTAAGAATGAGCAAACTATTGCTGAACAACCGCGTGGATGAATCTCATGACACATAATATTAGGCAAAAGAAGCATAACTCAAAAGAGGTCACAGAATATGATTTCATTATACAAAGGTGAAAAGCAAGCAAAAACAATCTATGGTGTCAGAAGTTACTCAGGTAGGTGTGGCAAAGCTGGA